ATACAGTACATATATGTATGTATGTATATACGCATACAACTTTGGGGGAGAAAAAGGGTATGAAAATGTAGATGGAATTTGTTGTCCTGGAAGGTTATATCTGGGCCCCTGCAAACTTCAGGCTACACGTTGCCCACCCTTCTCTCTTTTTTGGCCACATATTTACCTCTGTATCTTTGAAGTGACTCAACCAGCCCAGGAACATCATACGAGTCCTGTAAGTCCATTGAGATTGGTTGTGGTTCCTGGAGGTATACTCCCTCACTCCTAGGGAGAACATGTCACCAGTTATTCCACAGAAAGCCAAACATAGTCATGTTATAAATAGGACTGGGCCTTTCATGTTTTAATGGAAGACCCCAAACACAAAATGGTCTTTTGCTTTTCCATTTTCATGTTCTTTCACTCATTGTTAAAGAAGAACCTCTAAAACATAAAACATACATTATTCATGTTTATGGGAAGCATGAAAGTTTTATGTTTCCTCTTTTGCATGATCTTTATTTCACTCTTTATCTGTCAAATCGCCTATGAAATTTTTCATTTGCATTTTAAGGGATGCTTCCAGCAGCCAATCAGAGCATGTGGCAGGGGAGTAGAAATTCTGAATATGTAAAAGAACCAGGGAAATAGAAGGGGAAGATATGGAGGCAGTGTCAAATTTTATCTTCCTGGGCTCCATGATCACTGCAGATGGAGACAGCAGCCCTGAAATTAAAAGGCGCCTTCTTCTTGGGAGGAAAGCGATGACAAATCTTGACAGCATCTTGAAAAGCAGAGACATCACCTTGCCAACAAAAGTCCGAATAGTCAAAGCTATGGTTTTTCCTGTCGTGATGTATGGAAGTGAGAGCTGGACCATAAAGAAAGCAGACCGCCGAAGAATTGATGCCTTTGAATTGTGGTGCTGGAGGAGGCTCTTGAGAATCCCCTGGACTGCAAGGAGAACAAACCTATCAGTTCTAAAGGAAATCAACCCTGAATGCTCACTTGAAGGACAGATCCTGAAGCTGAGGCTCCAGTACTTTGGCCATCTCATGAGAAGAAAAGAGTCCTTGGAAAAAACTTTGATGTTAGGAAGGTGTGATGGCAAGAGGAGAAGGGGACGACTGAGGATGAGATGGCTGGACAGTGTCTGCGAAGCAACCAACATGAACCTGACACAACTCCGGGAGGCAGTAGAAGACAGGAGGGCCTGGCGTGCTCTGGTCCATGGGGTCACGAAGAGTCGGACACGACTAAACGACTAAACACACAAAAGAACCAGGAAGCCAGAAAGGTCTTGCTCTTTGGTTCAGTCATTCCTTGCGGGATAGCTATGTGTGATGAACTCCTGGATCCTCGACCTTGAAGTTTCTCCGGCCTGCCTACTGTGTCCCCATATTGGGTCCATTTCTTTCATTGCCCTTTTTTCTTGGTTTTGGTGGAGGGAATCTTTTTATTCATTTCTTTGGGTTATTTTTGCTACTGCCACTAGACAGCCTGCCTGCGCCAGCATGACTCCTTGAGATTATTTTTTAAAAATTTTCTCCTGATTTCTTTGAGTCCCCTCCCACCCCTTTCCTTTGGATTATATTTGCTTCCTGCCTCCCCTTCCTGCTGGACTCAAAGAAGAGAAGGCATCAGATTGTAGAAAAATCTCTGCATATTCTACTAATTTTGATTTAGGAGGGCCATGGTAGTATTTTTGCCTTTATTTGCTTCTTTGTTTGCTTTTCTTGAATTTTGGGGAGAGAGGGCTGTGTGTGTGTTTTACTTTGCTATTTTTTCCTTGTGTGAGAGCGGGTGTGGGTGCTTTCCCAGTTTGACTGTTTTTTTTAAATTGACTGTGCATTTATCCTGTTAAAGGCATATCTTAATAGGCTCAGGGGCTATTTAGTTGCTTCTGAGGTGGTAGGCCAGGGAGTGGGCTTTGCGAATATGCTGGCTGTGTGAATGTGATAATATAAATTTGCATAGGTCTGATTATTAGTTTCCTTTCTCATGTACTATTGTCTGCTTTTGAAATAGATCTCTTGCCTTGCCTCTCTGCCTTTCAGAGTAGTTTTTTGTTCCAGAGTAATTTTAAAGGTTCATTGCAGCTTTTGGAATGCAAGGAAACATGAATGAGGAAGCCTGAAATGAACAACCCCAAAGAGGTGTTCCCTTTCATGTAAAATGAAAGGCTCAGTGCACAGAAAATATGAAAAATGAAAGAGCCATCCCCCCAAAAAACTAAAATGAAACAAATAAGAAAAGTTTTATCTTGCACATTCCCAGTCATGAAACCTCAGAGTCATGAAAGAGGCTAAATTGTAAACCTGTGCATGTGCACATGAAAACCCCAGAAAATATGCACTGGTTTTGGCGGGCCGCAATTAAGATTTCAGACACTGACCTGGTCAAGGTGTTTTTCACATCCTACAAGGAGAAAACAGAAACAATGTAAATGTTCAGGTATGCACAAATAGTCTTTAAACATTGCTCAAAGAATCTATACACGTTGACAACCTAGCACTATTTTCTCTCTCACACCAAGAGCAGATTATAGTCTTTAATACAAAATAACCTGGGTTGTGTTTTTTAATAACTTTTTAGTCATCATAATTCTGAAGAACAAACTAGCCAAATGAGATGTAGTAACTCCCTGCCATGCAGGAACTCCATCAAAGCACTCCAAACAGATGGCCATCCAGCCTGTGCTTAAAAACCTCCAAAGAAAGAGACTCCACCACACTCCAAGGCAGCCTATGCCACTGCCGGCCAGCTCTGACCGTCAGGAAGTTCTTCCTGAGATTCAGGTGGAATCTCTTTGCCTGTAGTTTGAAGCCATTGTTCCTTGTCCTAGTGTCTGGAGCCATGGGAAACAAACCTGCCCCTTCCTTGACATGATATCCCTTCAAATACTTAAACATGGCTATCCTGTCCCCTCTTAACCTTCTTTTTGTAAGGCTAAACATTCCCAGCTCCCTAAGCTGCTCCTCATAAAACATGACTTCCAGACCTTTGACCACTTTGGTCACCCTCCTCTGGACGTGTTCCAGGTTGTCAACATCCTTCTTGAACTGAGGTGCCCAGAACTGGACACAATACTCCAGGTGAGGTCTGACCAAAGCAGAATAGAGTGGTTCTATCACTTCCCTTGATCTAGACACCACACTCCTATTGATGCAACCAAGACTTGCATTGGCGTTCTTGGCAGCCGCATCACACTGCTGACTCATGTTCGGACATGGCTTCCAGACTTTTGACCATTTTGGTTGCCATCCTCTGGACACATTCAGTTTGTCAACATCTTCTTGAATTTAGGTGCCCAGAAGTGGACGCAGTACTCCAGGAGAGGTCTGACCAAAGCATAATAGGGTGGTTCTATCACTTCCCTTAATCTAGACACTATCCAAGTCATTGATAAAGCAGTTGAATAGCACAGTGCCCAGAACAGAACCCTGAGGCACCCCACTAGTTACCTCTCTCCAGGATGAAGAGAAGCCATTGGTGATCACCCTTTGGGTTTTCAGTCAACCAATTACAAATCCACTGAATAGTAGCACTGTCTAGCCCACATTTTACTAGCTTCCTTGCAAGAATATCATGGGGAACTTTGTGAAAGGCCTTACTGAAATCAAGATATGCTACATTCACAGCGTTCCCTCCATCTATCAAGCCTGTAACTGTATCAAAAAAGAGAGATCGTATTAGTCTGGCATGACTTGTTTTTGAGGAACCTGTGTTGATTTTTAGTGATGACAACATCGTTTTCTAAGTAATAACAAACTGTCTGTTTAATTATCTGCTCTAGAATTTTTCCAGGAATTTATGTCAGGCTGACTGGGCAATAATTATTTGGGTCTTCTTCTTTTCCCTTTTTGAAGATAGGGACAACATTTGCCCTCTTCCAGTCTGTGGGGACTTCACCTGTTCTCCAAGAATTCTCAAATAGTATTGCCAATGGTTCTGAAATTACTTCTGCCAGTTCGTTTAATATCCTTAGATGTAATTCACCTGGCCCTTGAGACTTGAATTCATTTAGAGTAGCCAGGTATTCCTCTACTACGTCTCTACCTATTCTGTGCTGCATTTCCCCCACTACATCACCTGCTCTTCGCCCCTCAGGTTGAGCACCATTTTCCTTTTTGGAGAAAAATGAGGAGGAGAAGGTGTTGAGAAGTTCAGCCTTTTCCCTGTCCCCTGTTAGTAATTGGCCTTCCTCCTCTTTCTGTTAAAAGAGCTCCACAGTTTTCTAAACCTTATTGTTACGAAGCCTAAGGAGTCCCACTGCCTGCTGAGATTGCAGACAATTTCAAAAACTGGAATGCACAGCGTAAAGCCTGGACCCATCTCCTGATTAATAAGAATAATAAAAGAACAACATTTATGGAGCCATTCCACATGGCAAAACTGAATGATGCAAATCAGACATGCAATTGCATCATTTGCATAACTGATAAAGAACAGAGAATACACATTCTTTTAACACATTTCTGTAGTTCCTTCCACCTACTCAAGCTTACTGTGGTTGATGGGTCTAAAGCATTCATTAATGGAGGGGGTGTGCACAACTGTTTAATTGAATTAGTTTAGAATTAATGTTGCTATTTATTCTAATATTAAACAAAAATGATATGATCTTTTAAATTCATTACATAATGAATGAAATCCTGTTGCTTAGTGTAAGAAAATACTGTATTAACTTTCAGTTGGTTCTTAGCTGGAAAGTAAAAAAATAGCTACTGTGATTTTCAGGAGAGGAAGGCACATAATCTGCTTAAAAGGGTTGTTGAGAAGATGATGTGCAGAAAAGAGAGGAGAACGGTGTATGTGACCCTGATCTATTAGAATGGAGGAAGAAATATCCATCTGTTGAATGCACAGGAGCTTTTTTAGCCTCCTTTTCAATTAGGAATCTATGAGGAGTCCCATTTCAGTCCACATGTTAAGAGGCTTAGGTCTGGAACACAATGTGTGGCACACAAAATATGCACCACACAATTCTCATGCTGATGGATGTGTGTAGATCTGGGGTGGGTAGTACATATTTCTAGGGTGTACCACACATGGCTTCTACCTGGTTTAGTAGGGAGGGGTGGTTCTGTTAATGAAAACAAACAAACAAAGATATTACTTTCATCTTGTTATAATAACAGCAACCATGGCCATGAAGACAGAAGTAGGAGAGAGATCACATCCATGGACCTTATAGATGACCAGCTCCCTCTTCTCAGGTGGCCATGGTAAGAAATATCACCTTCAGCAAGGAGGCTGCTGGCTGCTGGCATTTCCACTCCATTTCTGAGATTAGGTTCTGCAGCTCCGTGCATTGGCCAAGCAGAAAATACCCATTTGCTTGCAGCTTATTCAGAGTTGCCTGCTTTTCTGCCTCTAGCTGGTTCAAAAGCAGCATCTCCTCCTCAGCCAATGCCTGGCGGCGCTTTTCAAAGCCTGACACTATGAGGGCTCGATGCACGTCCACTTTCTCCTGTGGGAAACACCAACAAAAAACAGGGCTGGGCATCAGGCTCCTGACAGCTAGCATATAAAGGACCATCAAACAAGGGAAGCTATGAGCCAGTAAGTGATACTGTTGCCACCCAACTGCCTTAGCATTGTGCTCTCTCAGAATTACTTCACCTGTGGGAGCAACATGCGTCTTCAATTCAGGCACTCCAGCATGCAAACACTTTCATGAAAAATGTCGAATTACAACTGGGCTGAGACCAAGAGCAAGGGAGGAGCCCATTTATGGGGATTTCATCTCTTAGAACAAGACTGTTGGCCGTTCTCCCCAGAAGCCTCTCCTCTATCTGAAATACACTGGCCATGTAGTAAATCGTTTGGACTTATATAAAAAGAGATATCTGACAAATTCCACTAAAATTTTACCTTTCATCCCCATCCCTCTGTTACGTTGTGCTGGCTAGTTCTAGAGCAGTCCCTGCAGTAATTCACTTTTCAGATACCGCTGTGCGACTGTAAAATAAACATTCAATCACCACCAAATATCTGAAACCCGCTGGTCATGACCACACAAGTGCCATCAACAAGTGCTCAGCTCCACCCAAAATGTATTGTAAGACCCACTGTCTATAGGCAAGCCCGACAAAACTATCTCACCTCCTCTGGCTCATTGGACTGAGCCTAAGAAGCATTGATCTTGAGTGTTTCTTAGACTACACATTTGAAATGACAAGGGAGCTAAAAAGGAATAACCTACTAAATTCTGGATCTTAAAAAAATTAATTGTCACAACACTGCTTATGGCTGCCTATTACTCCTGGCTAAAAACCATTCTAATCTATGACCAAAGATGTACAACCCATCTCGGATGAGGATGGTTCCTCCTCACAAGTCCTGTCCTGGCTTATACACAGCTCTCTAATGTAAAACAGTTGCTCATCAGCAATATAACAGCACCACAAGCATGGGGACCAGATTCCAAAACAGACCAATTCTGCCACCTCTCTCCTCTAACCTGTTCAGGTAACAGGTTGTAGGACCTGGCCCTATCAACCACAACATCAGAGGATCATTCACTTACTCAACTTTCACCTTCTGTTAACAGCCCTTTTCTGTATTTTGTCTGGAGTAAACTGTGTGATCTCTACCACCTATTCAAAAACATACTTTCAGTCCCCCAGGAGATCAACCTAAATATCAGTGACAAGGGAAATTCAAAGGGAAAATGTAATGGGAAACAACTGAACTATAACGGATGAATAAGTTGAGTTTTACTGTTTCTAGACCGAATGTAGATAAAGGGTTTTTATCATACACCACTTAGTGATAAGACTACCAATTCTAATATGTCTGGGTTGTCACCAACACTGATTTGTAAATGTTCATGTTAACATTTAAGCAATTGTCACAGTGTGTACGTTCTGCATTTTATTCCTTTCCAACCACACTGTATCACCGCTCCTACCACAGTGGTGGAAGTCTGTTATGCTGTTACACAAATAGGGAGTACTGGCACTAGTTAAGGAATCTTCATAGATGTTATCTATTGCACACCAAGCTGCATGACACCACATACAACAGATAAGGTCTACTGAGATTTCTTAACTTACAGCTGTTCACCTTCAAATGCTAGACCATTTGCATAACTGTGCAACAGGATTTCAGGCACTATGTTCATGTTCTTGCAATGTATGATGACACTCTTTGCATCTGAGGAAGTTTACTACAGTTCTATATGTGATAATAACTTGTTGGTCTGTAGGGTCTCCCAAGACTGTACAGTATTGCTTTTATTGCAACAGATTAACACAGCTGTTTCCTCAGAAAATATTTCCTTAGTCATCATCAGTCTGGCTTCACTTCACAGAATGACTGATATAAAAGCTAATCCTCTTTCTGTACCATGTGGATGGCAATAAATCAATGCAAAGTGTGGAGTAGCATCTGACACTGTAGATGTGAGCACACATTTGAAGCCCAGCCCAAGGCATTTTGCTGTCTGAGGAGAAGTTCAAGATGATGCCTGCTCTCCAATCAGTTTACATATGCCAGCTGGACAGGCATTCAGATCGTACTTCAGATCTGGTGATGAGGCAATATCCTGAAAGCAGCAGTTTTGCCTGGTGGGTGGGGAATAGGTCATGTGGCAGCTCTGTCCTCTGACAGAAGCAAAGGTCTGGGAATGCAGGAAGAACCACAGAGGACTCGCTGCTTCCGTTCTGTTTTATACTGCCTAATGATAGGCCTGGCCCAGGTGTCACATGGATGCATGTTATTTGTTCAGGGATAAGGTTTTGAAAGGGAAGGAGTAGTTTTCTACACCAGGTGTGTGTGTGTGTGTGTGTGTGTGTGTGTGTTTGTGTAGAAGGGCTGGTTTAATTACAGTTTAGACTTGTGTGTGTGTGTGTGTGTGTGTGTGTGTGTGTGTGTGTGTGTGTGTGTGTGTGTGTGTGTGTGTGTGTGTGTGTGTTCATTTATGATAAAAAAATGTTGGCTATATAGA